AACTCCACACGGCTACGTGGGGGTCACAGACTGACCAAAAGGGGTTCAGGAATTGAAAGTGAGTTTGTTGTTGGTAAGACATTCATGGCAGGTCACCATTTATCCAGCACCTAGCACCAACATGAACCAGTCTACAGTTATCATTGTTTAATTCTCACATCTACCCTGAGAAGTGGGTCTTCCCATTTTATAGATGGGAAAATTGAGCTCAGAGATGTTTTTCTCTTGCGCAAGGTCGCACAGGACACAGCCTACTCCAGCACTGGCTGCTGTGTCTAGCCCTCACTGCTGGGGTGGCACGCACTGCACATAAGGCTTTACTCGGCAAAGCCCGGTGCTAGGGCCAAGGATGCAGACGGCCGTCTGGAGAGGGCGACAGGCACGTGGACCCACAATCATGGACATGTGTCCTGCACATCTGGAAGACGTCTGCCCTAAGAGAGATGGGCTACTGCTTTATAGAGAGGAGGGGTGAGGCTTCTCGAATGCAGTACCTTCCTGCCTACCCAAGATGATAAAATCTGGTTCTCAGCTGTGTTGGAGTGGAGCGAGGAGGAAGGGTGGGGAAGGTAAACTGTCCCCAGAACTAGACAGGTTTGGGTTCTCATCCCAGCCTGCTGCTTACTAACTGTGTAATTGTGGGCAAGTTGTGACCTCTCAAAGCCTCGATTTCCTCACCTGTAAAATGGGAGATAGTCGTATCCACCTTTGGGGGTTAAATGTGATCAAGAGTGGAAAGCACCCAATGCCACACAGGGGGTACTAGGTACTTGTCCAGTGGTCCTTGTGCTGCTGTGGGCAGGGCAATTTTCAGCTAAACACTGGGATTGGAGGGAAAGGGCCAAGGAGTGGGTGTGAGGGACTGTGAAAGCAGATGACTTTTCCTAACCTTTGTGCCACCATTTTAATGAAGGACAAGGGCACAGTCTAGCACAGTGGCTCGCAATCAGAGGTGACACTTGGCAACGTCTGGAGACGGTTTGGGTTGTCACAGGGATGTGGGTGCTACTGGCATCTAATGGGTAGAGGCCAAGGATGCTGTTAAACATCATGCAATGCACAAAAAAGAATGATCCAGCCCAAAATGTCACTAGTGCCGAGGTGGAGAGACCCGGGTCTAGTGTCCTGGAAAGACCCCTGGCATGAGGAATTCCAGAGATGCAGATTCTAGGCCTGGCTCTACCACTCATAAGCAAACCTTCTTGGTCATGTCCCTCCCATCTCCAGCCTCTATTTTCTCATCTATAAAATGGGGGTAATGAGACCTTCCCCTCTCTTCCCTAAAGAAATGTGACATATCATCATTGTTACTATCCTTACCCTCCCTGTAGCTCTAGCGCATCCCCTCCAACCTGAAAAACTAGCAAGTTCCTGATAGAAAGGGTGCAGAGAGAAGACTTGGGTGGCATAGCTGGCAGGGTTGGTATTTGTTTCGGCTCTGTTAGAGACGCTAAGTAAGCGAGTGCTTGTAAATTATAAGGTGCAGTTTATAAATCAAGATATAAAAATGGAAATGCAGATTACTTTGGTTTGGTTCCAAGATCTTCAGCAGTTAAAAAAAACCTTAATAGACAATCAGAGAGACACAATCTGTTTCCAGGAAATAGCATGAGTTTTTCAAAATGTAAAAATCCTTATTGAGATGTACACTTACTCAAGCTGTGTCTCCATGACACAAGCACACATTCCTACAGGGGACAAAGTAGTGCAGCCTGGAGTGGCATGTGTGGGCAGCTCAAAGCATTGTTCATTCATTCACCCTCTCATTCAACCATCTGTCAGTTCATTTGGTCAATATTGATGCTGGGTTGGATTTAGGTGTGAAGTCGAAGGAAATGTCAAGAATGCTTCCCAGGTTTTAGCTTGAGCCAGTGAGTGGATGGAGGCACCATTTCTTGAGATAAGAAAGCCTAGAAGAGGAGAGGGTTTGGCTGGGAGACGTATCAAGAGTTTGGTATTGGAGATGTTGACTCTGAAATGTCCATGAGGCGTCCACGTTCAGATACTGAGTTGGCAACTAGATGACCAGTGGGGATGGTAAGGAGGAGATGGGGGGTGGTGCATGGGAAATCTTCATACCCTAGGTGAAACCTTGATTCTCCCTCAGTAAGCCCTCAATGTAATGTTGGTTAATTGAAAGAAGGAATGAATGAATGAGGGAATGAATGAATAAATAAATGAATGAATGAACGACTTTTTGGACACACAGACATTCAAGAGAAAATATCTCTCAGGTGCAGTCAGCAAGGCACAACAGAAATCTTACAGAAGAGTCTGAATCTAAGAATACTGCATTTTGGGGATCTATTTTTAAACCAAAAATAATCTTCAAGTTCTAAAGCAAACTGTAAATCTTGTGAGAATCTCAGAGACCTCATCATGCTTCTAATCCCCCTCCCCCATTTGCCAACTAAACTTCACCCCCACCCCCACCCCCACCCCCGCCCAAGCTGGTCTTCCCTCCAGAACTATAAGCTCCAAAAGGTTTCACTAACATCTGACACTTCTGGCTCTGATGCTTGCTGTTAACAACCAAAGAAAAATTATTCATCCAAACCTCAAAGGCACTTGGTTTGAATGGCTACAAATTGGATTCCCTGGGGTAAAAAAAAACCAACCAAAACAGTTTTGTCCTTTTTATTTTTTTTTTTTTAAGATTTTATTTATTTTATTTTTTTCCCCCCAAAGCCCCAGTAGATAGTTGTATGTCATAGCTGCACATCCTTCTAGTTGCTGTATGTGGGACTCGGCCTC